GTGCTCAAAATTAAATTGTACTTCCGCCCTCAAAAAACCCTAGTTGATAGCTTGGGTGTTTCTTATCATCTTTATTAGCTGGGGTTATGAAACTTAAATGGGTGATGTTGCTGAAACACTTTTCTCTAACACTTTCGCATGGGGAGTTAGAGGGAGGCTGCATGATTTGGCCGGGTTTTGTTCATCACAAATTAGGTCAACAGCCCAATCCCAAAAGAAAGCACCATTAATGAAATGACATGTTTCAAGGGCTTTCCAAAATCAGTCCACCGGGTTTTGGCAAGCTCCAGCAAGGGTGGAGAGGGGTAAGGGGCAGCCAGGCCTTAATGGCCTTCTGAACTTGGGTCCTGTATCTGACAAGGTTTCCAATGGCTCATATGAACAAAACTGACTTTGCTGTTACTGCTGTTATGCAATTAAAGAGGCCAAATGCTGAAATAAAAATCTTACTTAACAACGAGGATTTACAATAACAAAAAATTATCCTGAGCTTTTTCTTCAGTGGTGATGCAGCCACAGAAAGATTGAGGATGAGAGAAAAAAAAAATCAACATTAGGAAACAGAATGTTGCTTTCCTTTGTTCTAAAAATAATCAAGTAGCTTGATTATTTTTAGCCAAAATGCAATATAGCAATGAAAGAATCAATACTTTGTGAAATGTTTCACACTGATGTCCAATCTTTTAATGTTACCCTTTTAAGATTATTTCAACAAGCAAAATAAGTGTTAGCAGTTTTTACTTTGATAATTGCCAAATGATATTAGGAATATTACCGTTTTCCTCGTCTTGCTTTAGCAACGAAAACACAAATACAAAATGGAAAAGTTGATTGTTTAAAACGATAGTATAATTAGAAATTTTTTTTTTTTTGTTGTGTGTTGTTTTTTTTGAGGGACTGGAAGTCTTTGCTCTTGATCAATCCAGACTGGAGTGCAGTGGGGCAATCGTGTGGCGTCAACTGGCAACAGTTCCACGCTCCCGCCCCGACGCCCAGGTGTAATTTTTTGAGTGACTTTTTCGAGAGAGGACCAGGCCGGTTGTGCTGCCATTCGTCTGGGCCAGCGGCTGTCTCGGACCCTCCCCGTGAGCTCAGATGATCCTTGACCTGCGCTGCGGGGCGTCCCAGCAAAGCTCGCTGCGACGTTCCCAGGTGAGCCACCGATGCCGGCGGAGCTATCAAAGTCTTTTTCTTTTTTCTTTTTTTTCGCTGTTTTTTTGGTTTAATGCGGTTACCTTCGCCAGCCGGACACCCTTCCCGTACAGAATTTCCGACGAGCAGAAATTAGCAGAAACAAGAAGAACAGACTTGATTTCCAAACCTAGCGATACACCACGGTGCTGGCAGTTTAAAGCATTGCTGATAACATTGTTGTAACAGAAGAATGGACAGCTTACTCCGAGGGCACGTTCAGTATTCCTGAGGAGGTAAATCATGATTGTTCCTGCCCTCCAGCTGGGATGTTGCTCAGAGTTGAAGTCACTGGCTTCCTGCTTGTTGACATATTGTTCCAGGTAAGAAGATACCGGAGCGCTGGAAAGTCATGGTGGACCAGTTGAGTAAGCATTCCTAATCCGTGCCAGAGACTGAAGGCTAGATGAGCCACATTCTTCTTCTTAAAGAAGGTAAGGTGAGAAAACAAGATGTGGCGCTATCAACAACCAGACGCGTGCGGTGTGTCGACCAACGCAGTGTGCGCAGGCACGCGGTGCCGAGCCGTAGCCTGCCACACCACGCAGTGGCGCAGGTTCTCATCCGCCGGCCCACGCATGCGTGCTAACCCGTATCAAAGGTCTTTAAATGACGTTCTCAAGGCTGCCTAGAGTAGCGACGGCACGTGGCGGACACCTGTAATCCCAGCACTCTTGGAGGCAAGCCGGGTGATCACTTGAGGGTCAGGAAGTTTGGGAGACGCACGCCCTGGGCCAAATGGGCAAAAGACCCATCTCTAAGTAAAAATACAAAGTTAGCCTGGTGTGGTGGCAGGAAACTTTGTGAATCCTGGGCTACTTGGAGCTGAGGCAGGAGAGAGCGCTTAACCTGGAGATGAGGAGGTTTTCTGTGAGCCAAGCAGCGCGCCACTGGCACTCCAGCCGTGGGCGGAATCAAGAGTGAAATTCTGTCCTGTTTTGGAAAAAAAAAAAAAAGAAAAAGGAAAGAAAGAAAACCCGGCTCGTTCTAATGAAGAATCCAAAAGATTGGCGAACGCCGGGTGCGTTTCACGCCTCCTAATTCCCGAGCACTTGACGGCTGAGGCCAGCGGATCAGGAGATCAGCAGATCAGAGACGGAGTGCCTGGGCTAACATGGTGAAACGGCCGTATCTCTACTAAAAATACAAAATATTAGCTGGGCGTGGTGGCAGGTGCCTGTAGTCCCAGCTACTCGGGAGGCTGAGGCAGGAGAATGGCGTGAACCCGGGAGGTGGAGATTACAGTGAGCCAAGATCGCGCCACTGCACTCCAGCGTGGAAGACAGAGCGAGACTCCGTCTCAAAAGAAAAAAAAATTACTCAAGTGTGGTGGCAGGAGCCTGTAGTCCCAGCTACTCGGGAGACTGAGGCAGGAGAATCGCTTGAGCCCGGGAGGCTGAGGTTGCGGTGAGCCAAGATCACGCCACTGAACTCCATCCAGCCTGGGCAACAAGAGCGAGACTCCGTCTCAAAAAAAAAAAATAAAATAAAAAATAAAGAGATTTCAAACTGCTAGGAAACTAAAAATGTTGGTACTTTAATAAATCACTGGCAATTTAGACATTAACACTACAAGAGGGAGAAGTTGGTGGCTACATAATGTTTTTATCGTGACTTTTACAAATCAAGCTGGTTATAAAGTCATTCTGTCATTCTCGAAGATATTAAGTTACCCACATATAAATTAAATAAAAATCTCCCAATGCCTCTATGGATCTAACGACTCCAAGGAAACTAGCATGTTAAGCATTTTATCTAAAATATGAAAAAAAACTTTTTTGGAAACCAGCTATCTCCTGCTCATTACCTCACTATTGAGTCATGCCTCCTTTAACAAATCCAGACCTTACACTTTCTATCCTGTCTTTTACACCAGTCCCTCTGAAGCCATTAAAACTCTCCCATGTTAAAGCAAAAATCTAGGATGTCCAGGTTTACTTCCCCATCACCTTTTCTCAAGCTGAAGACTTTTGGATTCAGTATCCAAGAAGGGACTCGGGGAGAGGAAGAGAGGAGCAAGTAAGTAGGAAAGGAAGGGCCGTCTGTACTGTTAATGTCTCTTCCCCCTTCCCTTTATGGCAGCCTTTGTATAGGAAAAGCTGAGAAAGTAATCCACGGTTCCAAGCAAAATGCTCTATGCTTACGAGGACCATGTGTAACACAGGGGTTTAGTGCTCCATTTTATTTTTTGTTGTTTTTTTGTGTGTTTTTGTTTTGTTTTTGAGACAGGGTCTCATTCTGTCTCCCAGGTTGGAGTGAAATGGCGCGATCTCAGCTCACTGCAACCTCCGCCACCCAGGTTCAAGCGATTCTTCTGCCTCGGCCTCCCAAGTAGATTACAGGCACCCACCACCGCATCCCACTAATTTTTGTTTTGTGGTTTTTTTTTTTTTTTTTAAAGTAGAGACAGGGTTTCACCATGTTGGCCAGGCTGGTCTCAAACTCCTGACCTCTAGTGATCTGCCTGCCTCAACCTCCCAAAGTGCATCATAGTCGTGAGCCACCGCACCCGGCCTAGTGTCCCATTTTAGCAACTTGGCTGTAGGGGGTGCTTCAAATAAGTATTAGCCAGTGCTCTATACCTAAACAAGGTAAGGATTAAACATCATTCCATGGAAGGATTTTAAAACACAACTGTTACCTACAAAAGGCAAAATATATTTATATGCATGTTGATGAACTAGGGGAAGAAAATCTTTGTGTTTGTAGCCAAGAAGGTAAATGGAGACTTGTTGCAGTATATTACTACTGACTTGAAAAGATGTCTTGGCTGAGCATAGTGGCTCACGCCTGTAATGCCAGCACTTTGGGAGGCCAAGGCAGTGGATCATGAGGCCAAGAGATCGAGACCATCCTGGCCAACATGGTGAAGCCCCGTCTCTACTAAAAATACAAAAATAAGCTGGGTGTGGTGGCACACACCTATAATCCCAGCTATTCGGGAGGCTGAGGCAGGAGAATTGCTTGAACCCAGGAGGTGGAGGTTGCAGTGAGCATTTCACTTTTCCTAAGACTTACGTGGTACTACTGTAGGTAACACTTTGTGGTTTCCACTCAGAATCCATTGCCTGTTCCAGTGACAGCACATTCCTTAAGAGTGGTGGCTATCAGCTGGATGTGGTGGCTCACACCTATAATTCCAGCACTTTGGGAGGCCGAGGTGGGTGATCATGAGGTCAGGAGTTCAAGAGCAGCCTGGCCAAGACAGTGAAACCCCATCTCTACTAAAAACACAAAAATGAGCCGGGCATGGTGGTGGGTGCTCGTAATCCCAGCTACTCAGGAGGGTGAGGAAGAGAATCGCTTAAACCTGGGAGGCAAAGGTTGCAATGAGCCAAGATCGTGCCACCGCACTCTAGCCTGGGCAACAGAGGAGACTCCATCTCAAAAAGAATAGTGTCTATCAACCTACACTGTACAGGAGGAGCCCTTGGGAATTGCATTTTTTAAAAAGACCCAAGGTGGACCCTCACGCCCCTCATCAACTAAACAGAACTGGGTACTTTCCCAGGTGAGGCCCATGTGCAGCCATGATTGACCTTGGAATCCCATTCACCCTTGAAGTTTGGGAGGAATGAATTCCGCTTGTAGCTCCAGGAGAGATTTATGATTAAATTTAAGGTGTTTAGCCCATCTCCCTGGCCAAGGAGACTTAAGGAGACACTGGCTGAGGGTTTCTGGAAAATGTTATTCATTCTTCTGTAAAAACTGCAGCCAGGACTACTCTGGTTCATCACACCAGTTCGGATGGGTTACCTTTCACCAGCGACATTAAAGGCTCCAAATTAGAAAGCCACACACAGGCATGGTGAAGTAAAGAAAAGGGTGGACTTTAATGTTTATTTACAGGATGCTGCAAGATATGAAATTCCACATAGAAATAAGAAACCTAGTCAGAGGACAAGCTTCATACAGTATGTACAGTTGGAACTGTTCAAGTATAGTTTCAGTGTAAAAAGTGCTACAATAACAAACCACATTTAAAAAGAGTTCTTAGTAGAGAAACAATAAGACAAAATACCAAACATGGTACACAACAAATGTATGCCTCAGCTACGTGATCTAAAAGGTAAAGGTCCCAGGAGCCCCATCCTGAACTTGGAAGGTGTAGCCTTCAGAGGTAGTTTCCGGCACAACGTTTTGATCTTCCTCTTCCTGGAAATATACTAAAAAATAAATATAAAAAGAATATAATTATTCCAAGCAGCAGCCTATCTAGAAGTCTGTATTCAATCTCTAGGTCTTGATCTGCATATTATACCTTTAATCCTGTATGATATTCTAGTATTTGACATAGGGGAGGGAGGGTCTCTGAAACTTTGCCAATTCATGAGTGCCTGGGGAGTTGCGGGGACCGGGGATAAGGAATGCTACTACAGTAACAGAAACAGGCCGAGAATTTTTTCTTCCCCAACTGTCACTTTTCAATAGGAAAAGACTGTATTAGGCCCAGACCATGGCGGTGGGTTTGGCCTACTTCTCTATCACCTTCTACAATGACACCCACTAACTTGCCCTCCAGATAGTCTAAGATGCTCAAGGCTGTCCATTTGAAACTTAAAATCTCACCTCAATGCCAAGACCAAGGTTCGAGGGCTTATTGAGATCATCTCCAATGTAGCAGGGTACGAGAACATTCCCATCCGGCACCATGAAGACAAATTCCTGAGGCAGTTGGCTCAGAAGGTCCCCCACAAGCTGAATAACCCTAAGTTCAATGATCCACACATCAAGGCCAACCTGCTCCTGCAGGCTCGCCTGTCCCGCATGCAGCTGAGTGCTGAGTTACAGTCAGATACGGAGGAAATCCTTAGTAAGGCAATCCGGCTTATCCAGGCCTGCGTGGATGTCCTCTCCCGCAATGGGTGGCTCAGCTCTGCTGCGGCAGCTATGGAACTGGCCCAGAGGGTCCATCACTCAAGCCATGTGGTCCCAGGACTCATACCTGAAGCAGCTGCCACACTTCACCTCTGAGCATATCAAACGTTGCACAGACAAGGGAGTGGAGAGTGTTTTCGACATCATGGAGATGGAGGATGAAGAATGGAACGCATTGCTTCAGCTGACTGACAACCAGATTACAGATGGGGCTCGCTTTTGTAACCGCTACCCTAATCTCGAACTATCTTATGAGGTGGTAGATAAGGACAGCATCCGCAGTGGCAGGCCAGTGGTGGTGCTGGTGCAACTGCAGCGAGAGGAGGAAGTCACAGGCCCTGTCGTTGTGCCTCTCTTCCCGCAGAAACATGAAGAGGGCTGGTGGGTGGTGACTGGAGATGCCACGTCCAGTAGCCTCATCTCCATCAAGAGGCTGATGCTGTGGCAGAAGGCCAAGGTGAAGTTGGACTTTGTGGCCTCAGCCACTGGTGCCCACAACTACACTCTGTATTTCATGAGTGACACTTACATGGGATGTGACCAGGAGTACAAATTCAGTGTGGATGTGACAGAAGCCGAGACGGACAGTGATTCAGACTGAGTCCTGAGGCATTTACTCTTGGGTAAAGGAGAGTTGAGCCTGAATTAGGAATGTGTACATTGTACGGATCCTGGTGGTTATGGGGACCAGGTCTGTGGGCCCGACGTCTGGCCAGCCAGGGCTAGTGCTGTCCCCGCCCACCTCCATTTCCTTTTCCCTTGTTCACACTCTGGATCCAGTGACAGCAGGGGTCATGGGTCAAGCATAAATCATATATAGCATTTTCAGGCATGTTACTGGTAGTTCCTTTTGAGTCTGACATTCTAATAAAATAATTTGTAGAAACCAAAAAATAAAAAATAAAAAGATTTTATTACTATCAAGCCAAACATCAGAGGGGCAACTAAATACATTACATCCTATGTACACTGATAATTTTACTATATTTAACAAAGATATGAGGCTCATTTTTAAAATTATGAGGGAAAAAAAGGGCTTGACTTTAGATGTTTCCAAGTTATTATTAATATTACCATCCATGACTCACCTCTACAGAGAAATACTTCTCAATTAAGCTTAACGAAGCCTTATACACAGACTCATTTTCATGGTTTTGTAGAGCTTCAATTTTGTCTAAGCCGCCACATTCTTCAATCATTATACTAAGTTTCTCAGTTTCACCTAGTTTCTCAGCAACCTAAAAAAAAAATTCCAAGTTTACTGGTGTATACTCTGAATGTTTTAATGAAGAAAACATTGAAAATTTTGAATATTGATATGTCAGGCAGAAATAAGCACCTTAACAGTTCCTTCATCAAGCATGTCATAGTTTTATGTCCATTTTATATTTTGTTGAAACTCAATGTGATTGGATCTATACCTGCTTTTAGCACTACTTCAACTGGAGCCAAAGATCTTACAATCAATAGCTCTCAACCTTTTCTATGTATCAAAATCACGTGGGCAACTTTTAAAACACACTACATTCCAGTTCAACTGGTCTGCTATGGGAACAGGGGCTTATTGTTCTGTAAAACATCCTTTATCATCACAAGGTGTAGTCAAGATGTCTAAGGGCAAAGATGGCGTATGGAGTGCTAAACTAAATGTCTGACCAGAATGTGTGTTGGTATTAAGGATTTATTGGGCATATGGAATGGTATGTAGGTTGGTTTTTCTTTAATTTTCAACTTTTAAGAGACACATAAATATCTATAGATGAAATAGCAGATTTACTTGAAAATAACTTAGGGGATTAGATGAGGGGAAGAGGAAATACTGGCCACATATTGACAAATTATTTATACGCAGTGACAGATATGCCAGCATCCATTATTGTAGGCTCAATTTTTTTTTTTTTTTTTTCGGAGACAGAGTTTCACTCTTGTTGCCCAGGTTGGAGTGCAATGGCACAATCTTGGCTCACTGCAACTTCCGCCTCCCAGGTTCAAGAGATTCTCCTGCCTTAGCTCCTGAGCAGCTGGAATTACAGGCGCCCGCCACCACATCTGGCTCAGTGTTTGTATTTTTAGTAGAGACAGGGTCTCACTATGTTGGCCAGGCTGGTCCTGAACTCCTGACCTCATGATCCACCTGCCTCGCCCTCCCAAAGTGCTGGGATTACAGGCATGAGCCAGCACGCCCAGCCTATAGGCTCAACTTCTATATGAAAAAATCTCTAGAATCCAAAGTTGATGAGAAGGGCTTACCTACCACCAATCACTATGACAAAGTGCCATATGCTGGTATGCTTGGATCAGTTAGGGGTGGAACCAGAAGAAAAATATAATTAAGTCATTCAGAATTTTTTTTTTTTTTTGAGACAGTTTCACTCTTTCGCCCAGACTGGGGTGAAGTGATGCAATCTTGGCTCACTGCAACCTCCGCCCCCCGCCCAGGGTTTAAGCAATTCTCCTGCCTCAGCCTCCCGAGTAGCTGGAATTATAGGCACCCGCCACCACGCCTGGCTAATTTTTGTATCTTTAGTAGAGACAGGGTTTCGCCAGGTTGGCCAGGCTGGTCTCGAACTCCTGACCTCAGGTGATCCACCCTCCTCGGCCTCCCAAAGTGCTGGGATTACAGGCATGAGCCACTGCACCAAGTCATTCAAATTTAATTTCACCAAAATTCAGTAGAAAATTGGGACATTAAATCAACCAAGTGAACAGGTGTGATGAGTTCACATAAGCACCCGACTTCGATTCAGGTCCCATCATCCACTTGTCATCTCTTTTATATCTTTGATAATGCCTGCCACATTTTTAATCAAAGGTGTGGCCCACCTAAACAGGCTTTCTGAATCTTTGGCTTACTAGTGAGTAAACTTACAACAGCTGCCCTCCCCCAGGTCTAAATAGTAAACTGATTATTATCAAGTTCAAATTCAAACAAAGCCACCTTGATAGGACTTACCTGAAAGATATTTGAAATGGCATCCAGGATAACAGAATAATCTTGGTATCTTTTGCAGTTAAGAGGTTCATCAACGGTTCTATTATGCCACAGTGAACGAGGTACACAATCTGCTCAACTGTTCTACCACTAGTATAGTTGGTCACGGCCCATACAGCCTCCTTTTGTGTCTTAAAATCTGCCTATTCAACCTAAGGAAATGGTTTGATTTCAGAACAGTTGCACAAATAAGATTCCAAGAGTACTTTTTCACAAAAACAATGACTGAAAGGACCAAGGTTCTATCCAACCTTAAGTGAAAGGGGTTCCTGGGTATTTTTCAGCAAAGGACTCCAAGTAGAACCCAAGATTCTTGCACGTGAAGAAGCTTATCAAGCAGAGCTTTCTATAAATACTAAAAATGACTTGATTAAATCCTAAGACTTCATTACCTTAGAGAGAACACTGACAAGGAATGGGACTAATCCATGATTCACAACTTGCTGTATCTGATCCTGACGGCCAGCTGTGATGTTTGACATTGTCCATGTAGCTTCCTTCTGAATGTTAGTTTTGGGGTTGGTGAGCAGGCTGGGAAAGACAGCGAGCGCTCCTGCATCAGTCACAACCTGAGTCTGTTCATCTGTACCAGTGACAATATTCCCTATGGCTCTTAAGGTAGGAGTCTGAAAAGGAAAAATTGTTGATGCTGGTTACCTTATTTTTTTCTCAGCACTTCAGAAATTCTGTACCCAGGCTGGAGTGCAATGGCATAATCTCGGCTTACTGCAGCCTCCGCCTCCCAGGTTCAAGCAATTCTCCTGCCTTGGGATTAAAGTGCATGCCACCACGTCCAGTTAATTTCTTTGTATTTTTAGTAGAGATGGGGTTTCACCATGTTGGCCAGGCTGGTCTCGAACTCCTGACCTCAGCTGATCCACCCGCCTCGGTCTCCCAAAGTGCTGGGATTATACGGGATTATACAGGCGTGAGCCACCACGCCCAGCCTTGACCATGCTTCTTATACTTACGTCCTAATCTACAAGTAAATAACTTACCACAATTGGCAATTCAGAAGCTCCTAGAAGCTTCACAAGTTGGGGCACAACTCCTGTTTTCATGACCATGTCAATTCGTTCATTCGGACCATCAGTAAGGTAGGAAATAGCCCAGCAGGTATCTGCTAATACTTCTGGATCATCATGATGCAGGAGCCGAACTAAGGTAGGAAGAATCTGCTCAACAGCATCTATCGGGGGTGCAGGATTCTTGTTGCGGCAAAGATTTGAAAGTGTCCAGGTAAGATTACGTAAGGAGCCACGCTAGGGGAAAAAAATAGGCAATGAGAGGTTCTGTCTTTTGAGAAGACGGGGGAAATTAGAATGAAGAAGTGAGTAACTTTATTCATGTTAGTAACTTACTGCTAAAGATGACATATCAGGAACCGCAAGCAGAGCCAACAGTGGGTCAACTGCACCATACTTAATAACCAAGTCTCGGAACACTGAGCTGTCACCTGAAAAAAAAGGCAAGATTAATTTTATTATTTTGTCCAACACCATCAACATTCAGTGACTGATGCACCAGCAAAAACTCCCAAGCGTACTTAGATGGCCCTCGGCTGCCTTTGTAAAGACGACACTTTCATTCCTAATAACGACTTGAAAGCAAGCTCAAAACTTGACAAAGTCATTATTGCTTATAATAAGGCCTTTCTTCCAACTCATTACGCTTAGATACATTCAGTCAAAAGAACTTCAAGTCCAAGTACCTGCAATGTTTCCTAGAGCCCAGACGGCTTGTTCACTGATGTGAGCATGGGGAGATGCCAACAGAGAGATGAACGCTGGGATGGCACCTCCATCTACCACAGCCTTGGTCTGTTCTGATGTCCCAGAAGCAATGTTAGTGAGTGCCCAAGCAGACTCAAACTGAATGGGACTACAATCAGTTCTGCCCAAGAAGGACACAAATTTTGGAATCAAACCAGCCCGGATTATGTTGTCTATGGGGGGCTGTTTTTCTCTAGAAAGTAGTTTCCTAAAGGGGAACAAAAAGAAAAAAGTTGACAGTGATTAACAAAAGGAGTTTGTCTAAAAACCAATTTAAAATGCAATTCAAGAGTTTAGAACTTCAGACAACCTTTTAAGTAAATCACTAAATGCTGAGACATTCTGGAACCTGAGAGAAGCTGAACAGATTACTCGTACGGTACTATGTATGCGGTATAATTAACTATTATTTTTCCAAAAATTGTTGATTACCCTCCTCTGCAGCCCTGCAGAAATCTTCTACAGATCTTGTCACTTTTTAAAAAGCTTTTGACAATCTGACAGGGTTATACTCTCATTAGTAATTGAATTTGGTCTCCCTGATAGTTGTGGTTAAGCACTTTTTGTTTTTTTGAGACAGGATCTCACTCCACCCAGGCTAGAGTGCAGTGCCACGATCACAGCTCACTGCAGCCTCGACCTCCTGGGCTCAAGTGATCCTCCCACCTCAGCCTCCTTAGTAGCTGGGCTACAAGTGTGTACCACCACACCCGGGTAATTTTTTTTTATTTTTCATAGAGACGGGGTCTCACCAGGTTGCCCAGGCTGGTCTCAAACTCCTGGGCTCAAGTAACCCACCTTTTGGCCCCCAAAGTGCTGGGATTATAGGCATGAGTCATCACGCCCAGCCTAGAATTTTTTAATCATTTACCATTGAAATTTGTTCTGTCAAGCTATAGAAATTATTAATCCTTTCTATTACATCATAACTGTGTATGATGGGAGGCAAAGGTCAAATTATACTTATCTCCTAAATGGATCTATCATTCTAAATGGATGTCTCAATCCCACTTACTATTTATTTCTTCCTTTCCCTGCCAGTGACTTGAAACATTACTTTGATAAAAACTTTATGGGCGGGTGCAATGGCACACACCTGTAATCCCAGCACTTCAGGAGGCTGAGGTGAGAGGATTGCTTGAACCCAGGCATTTGGGACCAGCCTGGGCAAAATAGCAAGGCTCCCCTCTCAAAAAAATTAATAAATAAGAAACTATTTGGCTTATGGCTGGCTAACCTAATCTTTCCTTACACTATCTGTCTGCCTATTCCTGCCTACTCCCCAAAAAATCTAAAAACACTAATTTATTAGGTTACCCATGCTATCGCAGACAGACTTACCTGGCAGCTTGAGTAGCTTGGAGTTGATTTTCCACATTGTTGCTATTTACGCCTTTGACAATGTCATCAACAGACCAATTTACAGTGCCCTAGAAGAAAAATGAAATTTTGCACCTTATCATTAAGACTAAATACAAACAATAAAATCCACACTTACCACTGTGAAGGCAAGTGTAAACATTGTTCGGCTTATAGCCAGCTACTAAAAATTTAGCCCTACATTTAATTTTGCCTGTTAAATATTCATTATTTTATATGTAGAACAGTTTCCAAACTCGGTGTCAGCACTCACTGGAGTCTCAAGTTATGGAATATCCAAGTGTTTTGTTGCTAAAAAAAGGCAGCTTTGAACAATTAAAAAAATGAACTAGAAGGCCAGGCACAGTGGCTCACACCTATAATCCTAGCACTTTGGGAGGCTCAGGAGGGAGAATGGGTTGAGCTCAGGAGTTCGAGACCAGCCTGAGCAACATAATGAGACCTCCCCACCCTACAAAAAATTTTTTTAAAAAATTATCCAGGCACGGTGGTGTGCGCCTGTCACCATGCAAGACCTTGTCTCAAAAAAAAAAAAAAGAAAAAGAAAAAATTCAGAGCAGCCTGAAGATTATTCCTACATTAATCTCAATCACTTGCTTTCAGATATACTTTGAGAGAGAAAGACACGAAGTTATAAGCAACATTCTGAGGATTTTCGTATCTAATTTTATAATCTATGTATGCCCACGGTTGAGTGTTGTTGCAAATATAAATGTGTTACGTGCGGCCAGGCTCAGTGGCTCACGCCTGTAATCCCAGCACTTTGGGAGGCCGAGGTGGTAGATCACCTGAGGTCAGGCGTTCGAGACCAGACTGGGAAACATGGTGAATCCCCATCTCTACTACAAATGCAAAAATTAGCCAGGCGTGGTGGCGGGCCCCTGTAATCCCAGCTTCTCAGGAGAAGGTGGCAGGAGAATCGCTTGAATCCAGGAGGCGGAGGCTGCAGTGAGCTGAGATCACGTCACTGCACTCCAGCCTGGGCAGCAGAGCAAGACCCATCCCCTGCACCCTATAAAAAAAAAGGTTTTATGTTGTGAATCACAGTAGAAAGGAGGTTTGAGAACCAGTGCTACCCATAATTTAAAAAGACAGTACCCCTGTCTCTCCAGGAGCCTGACGCCTCACAGAGGAAATGTGACAAGCAGACAAACAGCGTAAAACAAGTGGTAAATAGATGGGCTACACAGCATTTACTCCCCATTTTGGGTGCAGAACCAGGCGCTAGAGAATCCTGAGAAAGAAGTGTCTTTCCTGCTAGGCTAAGGAGTGCTATAAGGAGAAGATGAGCTTTGAGTATTACTCACCTCTATTAGTGTTAGTATCCTAGAAATAGAACATAGGTAGTATTCAATTAAAAAAAAAAAAAGATAAATGTGGAGTGCTAAAGGGCTAAAGGAAGCATAATGTGGCTGCGCGCAGTGGTTCATACCTGTAATCCCAGCATTTTGGGAGGCCGAGATGGGCAGATCACCTGAGGTCAGGAGCTTGACACCAGCCTGGCCAACATGGCGAAACCCCGTCTCTACTGAAAAAAAAAGAAAATCAGTTGGGCATGGTGGTGCGTGCCTATAATCCCAGCTAATCGGGAGGTTGAGACACGAGTATTACTTGAATCCAGGAGGCAGAGGTTACAGTGAGCCAAGATGGCACCATTGCGCTCCAGCCTCAATGACAGAGTGAGGCTTTGTCTCAAAAAAAAGAAAAAAAAAAAAAAAGGAAGCATATTGAGCATATTGTGAGAAAAAGAAGTAGGAAAGTGCCCAGTTATCTTTGAAAGATGAAAGATAAATTTGAAAATCTAAGATAGGTCTACTTTGTGGAAGGCCTTCATGGAGTATGGATGATGATGATGATGATGATGATATTATTATTATTATTATTATTTAGACAGAGTTTTGCGCTTGTTGCCCAGGCTGGAGTGCAGTGGTGTAATCTTGGCTCACTGCAACCTCCGCCTCCCAGGTTCAAGCGATTCTCCTGCCTCAGCTTCCCAAGTAGCTGGGATTACAGGCACCCACCACCAAGCCCAGGTAATTTTTTTGTATCTTTAGTAGAGACAGGGTTTCACCACGTTGGCCAGGCTGGTCTCGAACTCCTGACCTCAGATGATCCACCCACCTTGGCCTCCCAGAATGCTGGGATTACAGGTGTGAGCCACCGTGCCTGGCCAGAGTATGGATTTTTATTTTTAGAGACAGGGCACAGAAAGAAGGAAATGATAAATTAAGAGGCTACTGTAAATATTTCAGGAGGAAAGTCCTGAACAAAGCTGGTGACAAAAAAAAAATATAGAGACTAACAAAAATAGCAGAAATAAACCAGAAATGGGCTGGACGTGGTGGCTCACACCTGTAATTTCAGCACTTCAGGAGGCCCAGGTGGGCAGATAACAAGGTCAGGAGTTCGAGACCAGCCTGGCCAACATGGTGAAACCCTGTCTCTACTAAAAATACAAAAATTAGCCAAGTGTGGTGGTGCATGCCTATAATCCCAGCTACTTGGGAGGCTGAGGCAGGAGAGTTGCTTGAAACTAGGAGGTGGAGGCTACAGTGAACCGAGATTGTGCCACTGCACTCCAGCCTGAGCAACAGAGCAAGACTCTATGTAGGAAAAAGAAAAAAGAAATAAACCAGAAACTGGTTGGCTCTGGACACACTGGTCAGGTCAAGATACCCAGCTAGCAGCTAGAAATGCAGGAAGTCTGAAGGAAGGTCAGAGCTAAAGGAAGATCCTAAATCAGCTTCAGTGGATTATGGAAGGCAGGAAAGAAGACAATTACTAATTGCAAACAGAGAAAAAGATCTTCACAGATAGTTAAAACCATAAGACTAGAAATGTTAAGTTTACTTGAATTTCTAAGAAAAGTTCCTACTGATTTCCTGGATTTCATGTAACTCATACACTAAAATACATGTTTTACCTGGTTGTTGCGGTTTTCCTGCAGCGGAGAAGTAGCATCATCAGGAAATGAGCTTACGTTTCTCCTCTTCAGCATCTGGTCATCCTTCTTAGCTTCCCCAGCTCCACATTGACCTCTATTCTGCGATGCCTCATTTCCTTAAGAAAAGATAACATGCCGTTTCACCTATCACATCAGTTTTTGTTGCTAAGTGAGGGTATTTTTAAAAAGATCCCTAAGTTTTCACCCCTTTCCAAATGTCCTCCCATTTAAACACCACCACAGGAAAGCAACAGAAGGTACTCACTGTACTGTCTTTTCCCTTGTTCTTGAATCTGTGAAGACGGGCAGCTGGTGTATTAGCATTCTCGTTGGTGGACATGGTAATGAGACAAAGGGAGAAAGCTAAAAGATGGGCGAAGAGGAAAATATTTCCTTTATCGTTTTCCTTTGTCAATAGTAGTACCAAATAAGAATTGAATTATCAAGCATCTAATGAATCCACACCTGTATACTAAAGGGGGGATCATCATGTTTTCAGCACTATGAAATAGCTTTACCCAAAGGGGAACTGTCCCCCTTCCCTCTGAAGGGCTGAGACTTCCTGGAGAGGGCTGTCCATCAGAAATAGAATGCAAGCTATATAAATAGAAATTTCCTAGTAGTCGTTTTTTTATTTTGTTTTGTTTTGAGACAGAGTCTCACTCTATCGCCCAGGCTGGAGTGCAGTGACATGATCTCGGCTCACTGCAACCTCTGCCTCCCAGGTTCAAGTGATTCTCCTGCCTCAGCCTCCCAAGTAGCTGGGACTATAGACGTGTGCCACCATATCCGGCTAAGTTTTGTATTTTTAGTAGAGATGGGAGTTCGCCATGTTGGCCAGGTGGGTCTCAAACTCCTGACCTCAGGTGATCCACCCACCTCGGCCTCCCAAAGTGCTGGGATTATAGGCATGAGCCACCATGCCCAGCCAAAAAAAATTCAAAATTTAAAAAAAAACAATAAATCATAATGAACTTAGACAAAAATACCTTCTTAGCATCTAATGAGATGATCAAAAGGTTTCCTTTCTTTGACTTTTTGCTTTTTGAGACAGTGTCTTGCTCTGTTGCCCAGACTGGAGTGCAGTGGTGCGATCTCAGCTCATTGCAACCTCTGCCTCCCAGGTTCAAGCGATTCTCCTGTCTCAGCATCCTAGTAGCTGGGACTACAGGCATGCACCACTGTGCCCCACTAATTTTTGTATTTTTAGTAGAGATGGGGTTTCACCATGTTGGCCAAGCTGGTCTTAAACTCCTGGGTTCAAGTGATCCACTCACCTTGGCCACCCAAAGTGCTGGGATTACAGGCATGAGCCACCAGCTCCAGCCTTTCTTTGACCTCTTAAAATAGTAGGGTATTAGTAATCTCCTGGAGATTGGTGTCTAAGGTGAAGCCAATTTAGCATGGTTTCTTATTCTTTAAATTTACTCCTGAATGTATCTGCATACCAATGTTTTGAGATTTCTTATAGACATGCCTATTTGCTATTAATTATTATAATAAATATTAATAAAGGAGACAGGGCCATAATTTTCTATTTGTCTATTTCTATTTATCAAGTTTTCTAACAGCTTCACACTAAGAGAAACAATAATCTGTAAAATTTCCTCCTTTTTCTATTCTGGTAGAAAAATTTAGAAAGAACTATCTGGTTCCTGAAACTTAAGAAAAACCTTATGAACTCATCTGGTCCTGCCATCACCTTAATGACAGGTGCAGTGATAAACAACCAGAAATCCTTCTCCTGCCTAAGAGTGTGGCTTCTGCCCTACTAAGGACTGAGATCACTGTGGCGTCCTTCCCAACCCTTCCCCCACCCAAAGGGAGCTCGGTGGGCCCCTTTCTGTAGCGGTGGGGATGGAAGGTGGCGCACGATCAGGTGGGGACTTCTGTTCCACCATCTTGCTTCACTCCTTCTAGGTGGACCCCTTTCTTTGTGGATGTAGGAAACCTGAATACTATATTAGTGGACCCTGTGAAGGCTTTAAAATTCCAAGTTCTAGTAAAAGAGAATCAGAAACATTGGTTAGTATACCTCTTTTTTTTTGATTCTCGATATTGGTTATTTGTGCTGTATTATTTTCCCCCCTTGATAATCTTATCAGAGGCTTGTAAAACATAACGGGATCTAAGGTATGTTTCTTTTCTATTTCATCACGTTTGCTCATCTTTAATATTTTCTTTCTTTAGGTTGGTTCCTTGAGATGTACCCCTAGCTAATTAATTTGCAGTTTTTCTTTTCTAACGTAAGCATTAACGGCTAGCAACTTCTCCTAGGAAGTCTAATTGCATCTCACAAATTTCAATATATGTAGTACTTTCATGAACATCCAGATCAAAATGTTTTCTGGTTCTCATTATGATTTACATTTGAGCACTTATTTAGAAGTATATTTCTTACATTTCAAGCATATAGCCCTTGCATTTCTTTAAAATTTTACAAATGTCTATATCCCTAAACAATACTGTAACATTGTATCATCACACACGCTTTTAAACTCTACACACATGTATGTAGTATATACATTTTTCGTTATGTGTTTTTAGTGATGGAACTGTTTTCTCTTTTTAAAAATTTTTATTTTATTTTAGATTCAAGGAGTCTATGTGCACTGGGGGGAACTGGGTTTCTAGTTACTCATTACCCGTATAGTAAACACTGTACACAATAGGTAATTTTTCAATCCTTGTGCCTCTCCCACCCTCTCCAAATGTTTTCATTCTATTGTAAACTTATGAGATTCAATCTCGACACTTGTTGCTCTAGTGTGTTTTTCACTGCTACGTAATAGTCCATTATGAAATAACACAATTTAAACGTGCCTGATTATGAGTACTTAGGAATTATTTCCAAATTTCACCATTATGAAATAATATTATAAGGAACACTCTGCTACAATGTCTTCTCATGTACACAGGGTAAAAGTTTCTCTACAGTATCAGGAAGGAGTCAAATTGCATTTTTAACTTTGTTTTTGTCAAACCATTCTCTAAAATGTTATAGCAACCATTGCACTAATTTCTCTGTTATCAGAAATGTATCATGACTGTAATCCCAACACTTTGGTAGGCTGAGGCAGGCAGGTCGCTCGAGCCTAGAGTTCAAGAACAGCCTGGGCAACATAATGAGACCCTGTGTCTACAAAAAATACAAAAATTAGCTAGGCATAGTGGAATGCATTTGTAGTCTCAACTATTTGGGAGGCTGAGGTAAGAGGACAACCTTAGCCCAGGGAGGTCAGGGCTGCAGTGAGCTGTGATGGTACCACTGCACTCCAGCCTGGGTGACAGACAAAAAATTAGCCGGACATAGTGGTGGGCACCTATAATCCTAGCTACTTCGGAGGCTGAGGCAGGAGAATCATTTGAACTCAAGAGGTGGAGGTTGCAGTGAGCTGAGATTGTGCCACTGCACTCCAGCCTGGGCAACAGTGCAAGACTCTGTCTCAAAAAAAAAAAAAGAAAGAAAGAAAGAACTAATAATATTCATTCATGTTTTACAACTTATATAGGAAGAAAATGAGGCCAAAAGTAAAGTCTTTAATATGGCCTCTTAAATACATTAGCTTTCATTATTAATATGCTAGTATTTCAAAAGGGAGTCCAATATTCCTCATTTACAAGGCTCAGAATTCACTTACCTGGTATGTCCTAAAGATTCTCGCCATATTGGTAGCATCACAACTGGTTTAATGGCACACTCTAAAATGGCTAAAACCAATGCAAATTCTCTGGGTTTGCTACACATCTGAACTGCCTTGATCCAATTTGCCTTATATTTCAGAAGAAATGAAAGAAATTATTTCCCCACATTGACCTTAAATTAAAAGCACAGTAGTTGTAACTTTGGCCTCCATCTGATTCCAGGGATAAAGACTCTGACTCCTAATCTTCCAAATAGTGGTGTTGGTTCAGTAAGTTAGAAGTACACTTACACCTCTAACGTCCTGTCTGCTGACCACATTGACTTCATTCAACTCATTGGTAATGACGTTTTCAAGTGAACAATTAATCACTCAAGTAAGTTAAGAATAAAATAGATTTGAAGTCAAAAAGCTAAGCTTGAAGGTCTATAAGGGTGAACAATAGTTTAAAAGTAAAGCTATTGTTTACAATTAAACAAGTTTGGAACAAGGCAGGTGAACGCTAGAGGTCAAGTATCCTAGGAGCAATGCCTGCCAGAAAGAAAGCTAACCACTTAGACATATAGTAGAACGGCTATGTATTTACATGCTAGAATCATATCACCGTGCGGTTGCATGATAATGTAATACTTCAAATTCACAACAATCACCATAATACCTGTAACAGTACGAGCACCTAGACCAACTGGAGACACTTAACAGGGGAAACAGGCGCAGCGGGATCACTTCACAGCGGCCGTGACAAAAATAACATTCCATCAGTTTTTCCAAGTTATACATTAAGGAAAAGAGGGATCGGAATGTACTCTTCCCCGCATAAGCCAAAAACATAATTCCTAAAACCATCCCACTTATACAGGTCCTCTTATCTACTCCGTATAGTAGATAGAACCCATGGATACATTCAAAATAGGAATCTGTCCACACAGTTGTGGTCCCCAACTCATTCCATAGTGCTCACAAAATGGGTTGGGATACCTACTTCAGACCTTATTAAAATAGAAAATTGTAAACCGCAGCTAGGGCAGCGGAGCCATGCCTGTGAATACCCAGCAACTTGGGAGGCTTAGAGGCAGGCAGATCATGAGGTTCAGTAGATTGAGACCCACTCTGGCCCAACACGGTAAGCACCCTATCTCAATAAAAATCACAAAAAATAGCTGGGCGCATGGTGGCATGGTGCCTTGTAGTCCCAGCCTACTTGGGAGGCTGAAGGCAGGAGAATGCTTGAATCGAGTGGAGCGCGGAGGTTTGGGAGTGAATCCGAGAATCGCAACCACTTCAAGCAACTCC